GGCGGAGCTGACGCCACGCACGCTGGGTGCCTCCCGCGGGACAGTGTAGCCGCTCTCAGTCTTCGCGTCCTTATCTGTGAAATAGGTCTGAAGCTTAAGGAAGGAACCCGTCCTGGACGGAGGCGCTGGGTCCAATCCCCAGTACCAGAAAGAATAAAGAAAAAAGAAAAAACGACGCGTTGTGGACGCAGGGGCCCAGCCTGAGGGCGAGGGTACGCGCGCACGGGCCCTGCGCGGCTCCGCGGCCCCCGTGCAGGTCCCGGCCGGGCAGAGCCCTAAGAAAGTGCGCAGCTGCAGAGCCAGTTGTGCCTGCCTTGGGTAAGAGTTCCGATCCGCTGGGCTTGTCATCGCGGGTCGCTGGCCCGGGTCTGTGTGCACGGAGATGTCCCTTCCTCTCTTCCCCGAGGGAGAAAATGCTGTCCTCCTCGGAAGCACACGAGGGCTGGTGACATAGAACCAACCTCAGTTATGAACCGACGCGGGGTAGTAGGGTTTCCTTTCAGAAGCCGGTTTCTTTTTAAGGTAAATGGTCGTTTTTGCGATAATCTACCAGGTTTAATTAGGCACTATAATCTAATTTTCTCTTTTTTGCTCTTTTTTGTTGGTGTACATTTCAGTGCGTGATCACTCGCTCAGGGTGAAGCACTGGTGCCGACCCCTCCAGGAGCTCTGCTGATCAGGCCTGGGCTCCCAACCCCCTTGGTCTCTGCGGCACCCTTGAGCGCAGCCTCGCTGTGGCTCCCACCTTGAAGGTTTCCTGCCTGATGCTTTGACACCTGGCGGTGCCGTTTGCCCTGAGCCGTGTGGGGAGTGGCACTGAATGGAAGGGCAGCTTGCCGCCTGGCCGCTGTCACCTCTGTCCAGTGCGGGTGGCAGCAGTCATGTCGCCAAGAACAGTGCTGCAGAGGGCAGTCCATATTTAACAACAATACGTCTGTGAAAAACCTTCCTGTGCATATTCTCACTTGAGTTCTGCAACCACCGGCATAGATGGGCAGAGTTTTCTCCAGGGATGGGAGCATGGGGCGCAGACAGGTGGCGTGACTTGGTCCAGCTGGTCACTGAGGCCATCCTTTCCCCTTCCGTGCTGGGCACCTGCACACTTTCTCGGTGCACTTCAAATGAGGGTGTGAGTCAGAAAATGAAGTGAATTCTTCAAGATTCTTGGCGCCACTGTGACAAACAATGGCGTCCGGTGTCTGCTGGAGTCCCCACCGCCCATGGCAGTAGCGGCGTGACTTGGACAATCTAAAAAGAATGAAATGGGATGGAGGTGGGAGCAAGCCAGTTACACTCTCAAATCTTCCTGCACGCTTCGGCTCCAGTGTCCTGGTGTGACAGTCAGGGTGTCTGGCTTTTATGTTGTACATTTGCTGTATGTTGTGGTGTTTTGTTAAATAAGAAGACAGCTAGTGGTTTTTCTGGAGAAAGCTGATGGTAAGTTAAGTGGAAAATAATAACAAAGCAGTTTCATTCAGAGTGTGACAAAGACCTGGGTGTGGTGGCGCACACCTATAATCCCAGCACTTGGGAGGCTGAGGCAGGAGGATCATTGTGAGTTGGAGACCAGCCAGGGCTACAAAGTGAGCTCAAGGCCAGCCTGAACTGCATAGGGAGACCCTGTCTCAAAAAGACAAAAAAAAAATTTAAAAACAAACAAACAAACAAAAAAACCCGATTGTGACAAAGAGAAGATACCTGGTTTTGTGCTACCTTTTTCTCTGGTTTCTTGTGATGGCCCCCAAAGGAACATGCCCAAGTGTGGTGAGACAAATGGAGTGTTACCTCCACAGTGGTTCAGGAAAGGAAGTAGATAGGGATTGTGCTTACGTCGGTCATGGTTGGTGACCAAAGAAGAGACACAAGAGCCATCCTGCACTCCAGAGCCAGGTATCAGCTCCAGGAGGGCGCTGACTCCAAACCCAAGAACATGAGATGTGAAAAGGACATCTGGTTAACCTCTGTGCCTCGAGGGCTAAAAGCTAGTAGATGCTCAGGAATGAATGGATGAAGGAAGAAGAATACTTAATCTTTGCATTTTTGATTTTAAAACTTAAGGGGATCACAGCACCCATTCCAGTCTATTTGGCTCTGCAAATCTAACGTCTTAGAGACACTCTGTCAATCCTGCCATGGGCAAAGGGCCCAGGAGCCTTCTCACTGGCCCGGGTAAGATGAGCGGGCATCTGACCCTGTTCCGGCCTGGGAAACCCGAGGAGAGGTCTGCCCGAGGAACTCTGGGAAAGCCGTTCTTGCTCTTGCACAGGGGCACAGAGGGAAACAGGCCACCCTGTCCACCGGATGCTCTTATATCTGCTGTGTGACCTGGAATGGCTAGAAGTGACCTTGGAGCCATCCGAGGATCCAGCACACACTCACAGTGCAGGTGCAGAGAGAGAATGAGCCGGGGTCTGTGCTGCTGGCGTTGTCACCGAATCAACTGGCCTGCTGCTGCCCTACTTCTGACTCGCTCGTTACGTAAGATAATAACACTCCTCCTTGCTGAGTCAATTTGAGATGGCGTTTTCTGTTACCTGCAGCAAAAGCAGGCAAAATGTGGAAGTAAGTTCTTTGGATGAACTCAAAGGCTACTTCCTGGAGCTGCTAAAAGCAACCATCACCACAAACCGCATCATGGATGACGATGAGGACTTTAACATCAGACGCACCTGCGCCTGCACCCAGATGGGTACTGGGGGATGGGCTGTGCCCAACCTCTTTATTTATCTATTTATTTATTTTGTCTTTTTGAGACAGGGTCTTGCTATGCAGTTCAGGCTGCCCTTGAGCTCACTTTGTAGCCCAGGCTGGTCTCGAACTTGCAACAATCCTCCTGCCTCAGCCTCCTGAGTGCTGGGCCCAGCCCAGCCTCTTTAATCTAAGCCTCATCTCCTGCATCTCTAGGCTCAGCATAAGAGGAGCACGGGGGCTGATCCCGAGACCAGGTGAGATGACTTGTGCTAGGTGTGCTGCCAAGGACCCTACGGTCAGCAGCTGTGTCAATGCACAAGTTGAGTCGCAGTTACAGTGCAACTGGCAACGAGCATTTACCAGGGAATCACTGTCATAGAGGCCACGCTGACGGACACCACGGTAATGCCATCCGCAAAACCCAGTGTGGGAAATACACAGCAAACGACCCCGTGTCTTCCGTAAATAAACTGCGAGCAAAATAAGAGGAAGAGAAAGCTTTGAGACACTTGGAAGTACAGTAGACAACCATGTGGAGTGTGTGGCTCTTGGTTTGAACATCACATTAATAGACACTTGGGGGAGATAAGAGCAGTGTTTAATTACATTAATGTCCTGTGTAATGAGTTTTTGGATGTGTTAATTGGATCATGATCATGTTTTTGGAGTCCTCGTCTTTTGGAGTGATATGCTAAAGAAATGATATCTG